ATTCTCTTTCTGCTGTGGTGTAAGTTCTTGCACTTTTGTGAATTTCAATGGTTTTACCCTGAGCCGAATGGAATGGAAGTTTTGAATTTGTCGAATGGAATATTCCGATATATTCAGCTCACTAGCCATTTTTCGGCCACTACGACGCGGGTTTCGATCAAGTCGCTTCTTTACTTTTCGAACCATTTCTGCTGATGTTTCTGTTTTCTTCCGTCCACTTCCTTGACTTTTTTTAAAGATTTACCGGATGGAATAGTGCGATATGTTCAGCTCACGAGCCATTTTTTGGCCACGGCGACGTGGGTTTCGATCAAGTCGCTTCTTTACTTTTCAAACCCTTTCTGCTGATGTTGTTGTTTTCTTCCGTCCACTTCCTTGACGTCGGGCTACGCTACCAGTATCACGGTAACGGGCGATGGTAAGAGACACAAAAGATATATTCACATTTAAATGCTGGAGTGCTCTAACGATAGCCACTTGTCGTTTTCCGCCCATATATAAAGAAATCACGCTATCACGCTTGAATTCCATCACGAATAACTTCTTTTCTGGAAAATTCTCACCAAAATGTTTTTGTACGCTTGCAAACACTATAATGAGCTGTCACTAGAATAATTTGAACAGCTGCCGGACGAGTGCCTTGGAAATGACAGCAGTCTGAAGTTGATTGCAGTTTTTTTATCTCACCCTGCATATATACTACGTTCCGCACAAAGGAGCTGGAACCCATTACGAACTGGTATATGGCAGATATTCCTAAACGTGGACAAATATATTTCGTTTCAATACCAACAATCAAAGACACAATACAAATTGTTCTGTCAAATGTCGAAGCTCTGGGTTCTTTTATGCTATCAATATATATACTTTATGGGGTCTGCGACGAATATTTATGGTTGTTACAAGCGGAATGACAAAGTTAATATACCGTCCTTTTCAAGGTGGAGAGTATAAAAATATTTAATTTCAAAACGAAAGCCTTAAGACACGAAAATTGGCTGCGAAATATTTCTTCAAACCATATATCTTTTTTTTATAACAATTTTTTTAATATCCGTGATATTTCAAAAGCTGTTCATCAAAAACTAATATGTGAATTAAATAATTAAAGTTAAAAAAAAAAAAACGTTTACAAATCTATAATGGATATAAAGAAAAGATTAAAACAAAACAAAAGATTTAAGACACAAACGTTTTTCTGCAACATTTGTCAATCTGAAAAGCTATTCATTTTGTGAAACCTTGTTTCCCAAATCTTAAAATATCCAAAACACTCAATTGCATTTCAACAACCTTTTCAAATTTATGACATATTGAACTGCAATTTAACAAAACTCAATTAACACTTCCAGTCACCAAAATACAAATGGAATTCCCTCGCTACAACTCCAACCCACACGCCTTCACATTCTCAAAATCGAATTTTGGTCCAACTTCTTTTCATAACCATCGATTTCTAGATCATACAAAAAAAAAAAAAAAATTTAGCACAAAACCACACACATACACACTTGTAAGTTTATTTAACCACCTTCGCCTTACATATTGTTTATTTTTTTCTTCTTGTTTTTGCAACGTGTTATGGTCTTTTATGTATTCACAAGTCGTTCTTTTAATACATTGTTAAATATTTGCCATTAATGAAAAGCCAAAGAAGAAACAACTTGGCAATATAACCGACACTCTACATAGGATCTACATTATTTGCCGGTATGCCGATGGTAGACAATAACATCCGACCGACCAACCATCTAGTCCGCAAGCCAGCCAGCCAAGAGGAGCGTTTGTTGCTTGTGTAAATTAATGTGGAATGTATTTTTTCCGTTTTCATTCATTATGTTTGTTTTTTTTCTTTTTTTTCTGTAGCGGCTTAGTTTGTTTTTGTTCACGCGGTATCTAAAGAAGACATGACATATAAATACATATTTCTGTGCATGAGTGTGTGTGTTGAGTTTATTTACAACAACGTCTGTGGCCCCAATAGAAAGTGGGGCTGCAGTTCAATGTCTCTGTTTTTCTGTTTGTTTGTTTGCTTTGTATGCATCGAACCGTCATTCTTTGACTGTTGGCTGCATGCAAAAGAAAAATCGTTGAGCTGCCATTAAATGACACATATGTGAACCGCAACAACAACCAAAAAACGGCAGACAAAAAGTACTGCCAGGTTGTTCATTAGTTAGTTTAAGGAATATGAAATTTTAACTGATTTCTAGAGGAAATACAATTTTTCTGGGGGGAAAGTCTATTCAAAAAGCCAAAGAATACAAGTAAAAGTCAAATCGCTTGGAAAATAAGGCCAAGATCCTTGCAGTCACTAAAATCAGAGGTATCAATACAGGGTAAAATGAAAAAAACTGCAACCAACTTCAGCCTGCTGTAATTTCTAAGCCACTCGTCCGACAGCTGTTACAATTATTCCAGTGACAGCTCATTGAATTGTTTACAAGCGCACAAAAGCATTTTGGTGGGAATTTTCCAGAAAAAAAGATATTCCTGATGGAATTCAAGCGTGATAGTGAGATTTCATTATATTTGGCTGGAAAACAACAAATAGCTATCGTTGGAGCATTCCAGCATTTAAATGTTTCTTTTGTGCCGTGATACTGGTAGCCCGACGTCAAGGAAGAGGACGGAAGAAAACAGCAACATCAGCAGAAATGGTTCGAAAAGTAAAAGACCGACTTGATCGAAAACATCGTCGCAATGGCCGAAAAATGGCTCGTGAGCTGAACATATCGCAATATTCCATTAGGCAAATATTGAAAAATTAGCTCGGGGTAAATGCATTGAAATTCCATAAAGTGCAAGAACTTACACCGCAACAGAAAGAAAATAGACTCCAAAGAGCTAAAGAGTTGCTTCGTTCGGCCAAAAGTGGTGAACTGCCGAATTTGGTTTTCTCCGATGAGAAAACATTCGTTGTCCAGCAGTTTGTAAACAAACAAAAGGATTGTGGTTGCCAAAGAGGTCAGCTGAAAACATGCACCTTCGGTTGGCCACCAGAACTCAAGCACGGCCATGGTGATGCTGTGGGCCGCCATAACAGCCGATGGTCGCTCTACGCTCGTATTAATCAACCGTGGCATCAGATAAATGCCGAATATTATCGCAAAAATATTCTGGAGGGTGTATTAAAGCCTTGGGCACGCAAACATTTCGGCCCCAGAGCCAGACAAAAATATTCTGGAGGGTGTATTAAAGCCTTGGGCACGCAAACATTTTGTCCCCAGACCTTGGACGTTCCAATAGGATTCATCACCATCGCACTCAGCACGCGCAAACCAAGAATGGTTAAAAAATGATGTCCCTCGCTTCATTTCCAGCGCATAATGGCCCCAAAAAGCCCGCATACCAATCCGTTGGACTATTGTGTCTGGAGTATTTTGGAAAGCAAGGTTGGTACTAAAACTACCAAGGTGTTGATTACCTCAAGCAAGCACTTCTCCTAGAATTGGCCAAAATTCTGCAGAGCAACATTCGGGCAGCGTGTGACGGTTTCATTGGCTGGTTGAAGGAGATAATTTGTGCATTTTATTCTAAAAATTTGATGCTATTTCCGACATTTTTTGCTTTTATTCAACAAAATTAAAAAAAAAAACAATTCCAAAAGTGTGGAAGGGGAGAAACTTGCCCCCTCTATTTTGATTACTTTTCGATGTAAACTTTCAAAACGCCGATTAACATGTATTCTTTTTTTATTTCGAAAATAACTTTAAGAATATGCTATAAAACTATTGTTAATTGTAATCTCCCACAATCATGTGCCATAACAAATTGATAGAAACACAATTATTATAGCCTCAATAATTATGTATTCGTATTAATAAACAATATGAAGCTACCGTTTGAAACTACGTTTTTCAAAAACAAATAATGAAGCTAACATTTTATTTCGGTGTCATGAAGGCAGTTAGGAGAAATTTTTGTTTCCACCAGACACAAGATCAAGTCCATGTTGTTGTAGCCGTCGAGCCGGCAAAACATTCATGCATTGGACAATTGTAGAATATTTATTTTTTGGCAAGTTTTTATGGCCACTTGCAAATATAACCGACAACAAGCGAAAGTTGACCCAGAGTTGTGGGCCAGTCCGGCTAAGCAGCCAGCCAGTTTGGCTGCCAAAAATAAGCAGTAGCAGCAGACATACAATGGTTAAGCAGGCAAGCGGACATAGCCGACGACGAATAAGAAGAAGTCTTAAATTGAATGTAAAACATGTAGCCAAAATAACTGAACTGAACGAATGGCTTGTTTTTTTTTTGTCTTTTGTTAAAAATAAAATATTCCATTTTTTTTAGTGTAGAGAAATAGAAAAGACAGAAGCCAAAGAAAGACTTGACTTGAGCGGTAGCATAACAATAATAATTTGCATAAATGTCTCACAAGGAAAATCCATAAATGGTTAATAGAGATGAAGCCAAATGTGGAGAGAGAGACAGAAAAATTGAAACAAGTGCAATTGATTTATAATAGAAAATCTAGCTTTCATATGGACAGAAACCAAAAAAGAAGAACAAAAAAAGAAGAACAAAAAATATGAAATTGGAAAAATACCTATTTGGTAGTGTCACCTAGTTTGGTATTTGTCTTCAGTGTGAATTTGTAACCCATATTCGTATGACAATGGCGGATGATAAGTTAATACAACAATAGTTTGTCTAAGAGACAGATGTCGAAAATGTCATTGCATTTCCCAAATGCTGGACAGATGAAATAAAAGACTTTTGACAGGCAAAATAAAAAGAAAATTGCTTTTGTGCCAAAGGAATTTCAATGATATATCCATGAATATGCCACGGATGATCGATCACAGTGGAGATTTTAAGTTTTTTTATTGCAAACATGCTTGGCCAATTTATTTCATTTCTTTTTTTTTGTGTTTTTTAATTTTTGCACATGCTACCTTTACAGAATAATTGATTAAAATCTTATTACCATTTATGTCTAGCCACTATTTTAATTAACTAATTTATTTTCTTTCTGGCTTTCTTTACTTTCAGTTTCGTCGCATCAAAGACCCACCTCAACACACACACACATACACATTCACAAAAGAAAACAAAAATCTTCTAAATAAGGTAAGATTGTGTTGCTACAACAATTTCTCTTTGTCATTCAAATGCCATGCCAGCACAGATACATACGTACATACATATGTGCATGTGTATTGATTGTGATATCAGATCAGTGGATATAGACATTGTTTGAATTTTAAACAAAAGGCACCCACCCTCTTTGGAGCAGATGACGACGACTAGACTACGGTAATGGTAATGGTGATGATGAATCATAGCGAAATGATACCAATTAAGATCCCAACCAAAAACCGAATTAGCATATTTTCAACAGCAAAAGCTCTATAAATCAAACTTATTCAAATTAGAATTGGATTTTACATGAGAAAGTCAATTTGTAGTTAGTTTTGATTTCATGAGAAATAGTATCACGTTGTGGGTTTATTTTTGGAATTTTCTAAAAGAAATTTCAAGAATTGTTGTTTGAAATATGTCGACGATAATGAAAAAGGTAGGGGCTTAAAAGGAAAGAATAAGGGATAACAATATTTGTAATTATATTTCATTAAACTGTCAGTATAGATTTTTATAAATATCAGTTTTTAAAATTTAGATGTTTCTAAAAACGTAATTCCTAGAATGGTATTTTTTACCAATTCTGCTCCTTCGAAATGCCCACGTCCAGAATTGGAATTGATCCGGTTGTTTTTATACCCTACAACACAAGGTGGTCAGGGTATTATGTCTTTGTGCATTTGTTTGTAACAGGCAAAAAGGAAACGAGATAGACTCATAGTTCCTTTTGATGATCTGCATAGAATCACATTCTGAGTCGATTTATGCATGTCCGTCCGTCCGTCTGTCCGTCTGTCCATGTATTTTTGTAAACAAATACAGTTCGCATTTATTGCCCTATCCAGATGAAATTTTGCACAAATCATTTGTTTGGTCCAAGGACGAACCCTATTGAAATTGGAGATAATCGGTCAAAATTTAGATATAGCTCCCATATATATCTGAGTCCGATTTGCCTTTTATTGTGCACCAAACGTGTAATATCAGTCCGAATAGTACAGAAGTTTGCACGTACGGTCAGATTGGACTTGAAAATAAGTATGCCAAATTTAATCGAAATCGGTTCAGATATAGCTATAACTCCCATATATATTTTTCATCCGATATGTTATTTTCGTCCTCCGCAGCCGTGATATGCACTCTGTAACAACAATATTTATTGAAATATATCAAATACAGTTCAGAAATATATTTGCTAAATTTTATCGAGATCGGTTCAGATTTGGATATAGCTCCCATATATAATTTCGTCCGATTTACTTTTGATTGTGCACCAAACGTCTAATATTTGTCCAAATGGGATGAAATTTGGCACTTACGACCGAATTGAGTCTAGAAGCTAGTATGTCAAATTTGATGAAGATCGGTTCAGATATAGTTATAGCCCTCATATATACTGTTCATCCGATTTGTCATATTTGTTACCCACAACCGTAATATGTAACAACGATATTCAGGGAAATATATCAAGTACAGCTCAGAATTATCTTTGCCAAATTTTTTCGAGATCGATTCCGATTTGGATATAACTCCTATATATTTTTATCCGATTTCAAATTAATTGTGTACAAATGGGCAATACAAGTCCGAATTTAATAAATACAAATGCTTCGGCATATTTAATCCTTTGAACTTTAAATTATAATTAAAATCATAGCGTGTATGATTGAATTCTCCTATAAAAACCTTTAATTGTTATGCCGAGCTCTACTAAATTAGCAAAGTGGTGTAGGGTATCACAAAGTCGGCCCCGTCCGACTTTAAGGCTTTCTTTACTGTTTATTAATTCATTAACAAGTATTCTCAGAAAATTCACGAACAAAGCTGTATTTTTTAAATATTCTGTTGGAATGTCCAAGGTCAACGGGCAAAATGTTTGCGTGCCCATGGCTTTAGTACACCCTCCAGAATATTCTGCATTTATTCTGATCCACGGTCGATAAATATGAGCGGAGAGCGACCATCGGTTGTAATGGCGGCCCACACCATCACCATGGCCGGCGCTTGAATTCTGGTGGCCATCCGAAGGTGCACATTTTCAGCTGACCTCTTCGGCAAGTAAACACAATCATATTGTTTGTTTTCAAACTGCTGGACAACGAATGTTTTCTCATCGGTGAAAACCAAATTCGGCAGTTCACTTTAGGCCAGGAGAAGCAACTCTTGAGCTCTTTCGAGTCTATTTTCTTTCTGTTGCGGTGTAAGTTCTTGTTGCACTGTATGGAATTTCAATGGCTTTATCCCGAGCTAATTTTTCAATATTTTCCGAATGAAATATTTCGATATGTGCGACATTTTTCGGCCACTGCGACGCGGGTCGCTTCTTTACTTCTTGAACCATTTTTGCTGATGTTGTTGTTGTTTTCTTCCGTCCACTTCCTTGACGTCGGGCTAAGCTACCCGTAACGAGCGATGGTATGAGACACAAACAATTTATTCACATTTAAAAGCTGTAGTGCTCTAACAATAGCCACTTGTTACTTTCCAGCCATCGCGCTTGAATTCCATCGCGAATAACTTTTTTCTGGAAAATTCTCACCAAAATGCTTTTGTATGCTTGTAAACAATATAGTGAGCTGTCACTGGAATAATTTTAATAGCTGTCGGACGAGTGGCTTAGAAATGACAGCAGTCTGAAGTTGGGTGCAGTTTTTTCATCTCACCCCATATACAAAGGAACTCTTACATTTTGAGATGTATTTGGCAATATTTGGTATAAAGTTTTGAAATTGTAAAGAGATCTTTGGATAAATCAATAATCCTCATTGGTGTAGAAAATGGGGCATATCGATCCATGTCTTGGAATGGCCCCTTTGTGAGGATAACATCTATTTCAATTAGTTTTTTTTCTTTTTTTGGCCATGATTTCCATTTTGAGTTCGTATTGTGTAGAGACGCTATTTATCAATAACTATCAATATAGGTCCAGCTTTTGCTACTGCAGTTATATAATGATACCCCTGATTTTGTTTATTGCAAGAGTCTTGGTAATACACACTTAAAAATTGATAATTTTTCCCTAACAATACCTCGTTACGAATCTCACTATAGATCCGGTATGATAATAGTTTTAATACTATCCTGCCTCACATTTTCTAAATTCCCAAATGACAAACAATTGATGCAACGTAAAAAAAAATGTACTTGCAATATATAGCAGATTAATTGACCAAATGTCCGGCATGTACAGCTCAATTTAGCAACAAAGCAACTGCCTACCAACAACCGTAGCTATTGTTCTTAAAGATGACTTAGTTTATAGACTAATAAATCTCTTAATTTCCAAGTGGTCATATGTCCAACATTTTATAGAGAAAATAAAGGCAAAAAAAAGTATAAGATTTATTTCCTAAAATGGTAGATCTTGGCAATAGAACAAAAAACTCGGCATTGCTCCACTTTAGTTTTAAAACAGAAAATAAATAGGAGGAAAAAAATTGAAACTACCACACAGAGGATTAAAAGAAAATTAACAAACAATGGATTGTTTACAAGACTTCTTTACATGGCAGCCAAGAGGCCATAGACCAGCAATGTCAACACAACGAACCATGGCGAACTAAAAATGGTCAATGAGAAAACTTTCGAGGCAAGAAAAATCAAAAAAAAAAAAAAAAACTTTGTCATATGACTTATTTACTCTAATTCCTTGGATGTCATTGGAAAACCAAATCACTAAAACAATAGCAACAATAAGAACAAAAAATACAAAATCAATGGCAGTGTTGAAATAAGACTAGGGCAAAAAACCCGAAGCCACCATATTCTTATGGTAATCAATTAAATCATATTAAAAACAATGGCAAAGAAAATTGTTACAATTTGCTGGCATAGCTGAGATTTTTATCTAACTACGGGCAACAAAAAAACATTGGTGGGGAGGGATGTTGAGGAAAATTTAACTGTTTAATGGCCAAGAAATTTCTTTTGTTGGAAAGTTTTGTTTTGGTTGGTGACTTTAAAGTTTAAAGACTTACTACTTGCCTGGGCCGGGTTTAAAAAAAAGTTAAATGTTAAAGTTTAGCCATGTATTTTATTATGGCCTATAACACGCATCATTTGCCTTGTGTGCGTGCATTGAAAATTTTATCAGATGTTCTGATTTTGTTCCGTGATCTTCCAAACAATTTGAGGCATGTTATAGTTGGCGTTTTTTTTTTGTTTCTTCTTTACCTTGTTATTGAGTTATTATAAAATTTAGAACGCTTAACTATTTTATGCCAGTCTTCGCTTGTCCGCCTGGCTTCTTTTTTAAATGCTTACTAATTGTTGTTGTTGTTGTTGTTTATTAAGAGCTGTTTAGTGATCTTCTTATTTTTTATATATATGGTCTTCTTAAATAACAATTATCGTAATCACGTATAAGCGGTCTTTAAGCGATTAAATCGTACGATATTGTCGTTAATGCTCTATTAACACAGCTGTTGGCCGGCCAAGAGAGCGATATAAGAAAGTTTTGTGTTTTTGTGATTTTCTTGCTAATCTTTCTTTTTATGGACACAGGAAAAAGAGAAAATAGATAAAGGCAATTAAATTGATTAGAACATTAGAAAAAATAAATGATCGGAGACACAGAGGAAAATATTCGTTAGGCATTTGTGGCATTTTAACGAAACACCAAAGAAGGTGGATATCTATCTTGATAGGCATTGATGTCTTTATAGAGGAGTAGAGTTCTTAGAAATGTGAAAGCTTAAATTCACATGGGACCGGAGATGGATTTATGTGGGGCGAGTTATTAAATAAAAAAGATTGATTTTGCATGGAACGAAGAAAAAATTTCCTGTACTTTAAGAAAGAAATTCAACGAATGTTTTCTCATCGGAGAAAAACGAATTCAGCAGTTCACCACTTTCGGCAAAGCGAACAAACTCTTTAGCTCTTTTGACTCTATTTTCTTTCTGTTGCGGTGTAAGTTCTTGCACTTTTTGGAATTTCGATGGCTTTACCCCGAGCTCATTTTTTTAATATTTGCCGAATGGAATATT